TTACATGATCATATAATACACATTAACAGAACCAGGTGTTTTCGATCTTTAATGACATACACACCTATAAATAAGATGATGCAAATAACCTTCATCACCTGCGCGGTGCCTTTTATTAATCAAAGGTAAGATTCAAGTTATATTTTTTCTTAAGGTAAGTACATGTATTAAACAATATAGAAATTTAATTCTATAACTGGTAAATCGTCTTACTGGTATTTTAATTTACCCCTATATAATTCATCCATACATGATAATTAATAATATACACTTGTGTTGTACTTGCTGCAGAACTGTAGCTCTTTGCCTGATCTGTCCGAATTTTCGGGCTAGAGCTAGAGTTCTGCAGCTAGTGTGTAATCTACCTTTTCAATTATAACGATCATTATTAAACCGTATGAGCAGAATTTTTAAAATAAAAGTTAATTATTAGCGAGGGTTATGGAATAGCTTAAATTGAATTTCGCTAACGATCTATTCCCTATCAATTGTAAAAACTATTTCACTTGACATTATAAAATTGTTAAAATTAATTCTCCTTAAATTATATACAATTTTTTTATTCACGTAAGGTTTGCATCTCGCTTTTATGGGCATGGCTCCAAGTAGTATGTAGGCTGCAATATTTCCGCATCTATCTGGTAGGCCTTGGATATTTTTAAGGAACTTGATTTCAAATTTCTCGAGCTCTGTCTTAATATCCTTGCTTGTTAGGCTGGTGACTTCGAGGCCGTAGCTGAATCTGGGTCTGGAGAACGTGGTGTAGAGTTTATAGGAGACTGTCGGGTTTAAACCATTCTCCCCATGTAGACCGGCTCCCATGAGAGCGTGGAGAGTTCGTCTTCCTTTCTGTATTCTCTCTCCTACCGCTAGTTTATTGCCTTTCTGTCGGGTCAGGCCGATATGAGTAGTTCTCTCCACCTCCTGTATTTGATCTGATCCTAAATTCCAGGTCTTTTTTTTCTCTCTGTTTCGTGGTGTTAAATATAACTGCATCACTCTTTGATGAGTTAATGCTCACTCCGTCAGATTGTGTGCAGTTATGCACAATATGCAGGGTACATTGTAGGTCGACTGGATTGTCTGCAATAATGGCCACATCATCTGTCCAACATCTGGTTATTATATCTCTTATACAAGCTAGGTGATAATGTGACTCCTTGCCGGATTCCCTGCTGGCATGCAAAGGCTGGACTCAAGTTTCCCTTCCACTTTACCATAGTCAGGGTCTCTGTTTGTAGGGTTTTTATCAGTAGCCAGTTGCTATGGTCGATTCTGCTGAGGTAGATCTTTCTTAATAGATGTTGGTAGTTGACTTTGTCAAAGGCTTTTTAGCTCACCTCGACGAAGTCGAGATGAGCTTATGCTATACCCCCGGCGTTGGCGTCGGCGTCGGTGTCGGCGTCGGCGTTAGCGTCGGCGTCCCAGGTTAAAGTTTTAGGAGCAAGTCCATTCCCAAGTAACTATAAGCCCTACCTGAACCAAACTTGCATAGATGATGCATCTAGGGATGTACACTACAAGACTTGCTTCGGATGCTGGATCTGACCTACATTTTCCAGATGAGTGACCAGGTTAAAGTTTTTGAAGCAGGTTAAAGTTTTTGGAGCAGGTCCATTCCCAAGGAATTATAAGCCCTACCCAGACCAAACTTGCATGGATGATGCATCTAGGGATGTACACTACCAGACTTGCTTCGGATGCTGGATCTGACCTACATTTTCCAGATGAGTGACCAGGTTAAAGTTTTTGGAGCAGGTCCATTCCCAAGGAACTATAAGCCCTACTCGAACCAAACTTGCATGGATGATGCATCTAGGGATGTACACTACCAAACTTGCTTCGGATGCTGGATCTGACCTACATTTTCCAGATGAGTGACCAGGTTAAAGTTTTTGGAGCAGGTCCATTCCACAGGAACTATAAGCCCTATTTGGACCAAACTTGCATGGATGATGCATCTAGGGATGTACACTACCAGACTAGCTTCGGATGCTGGATCTGACCTATATTTTCATTCCCAAGTAACTATAAGCCCTATTTGGACCAAACTTGCATGGATGATGCATCTAGGGATGGACATTACCAGACTAGCTTCGGATGCTGGATCTGACCTATATTTACATTCCCAAGTATCTATAAGCCCTAGCTAAACTAAACTTGCATGGATGATGTATCTAGGGATGGACACTACCAGACTTGCTTCGGATGCTGGATCTGACCTACATTTTCATTCCCAAGTAACTATAAGCCCTAGCTTAACCAAACTTGCATGGATGATGCATCTAAGGATGGACACTATCAGACTTGCTTCGGATGCTGGATCTGACCTATATTTTCCATACAAGAGACTTGGTTAAAGTTTTGGGAACAGATCAATCCGAATGAACTTGAAGACCTTGATATATGCAGTATTAACAGTTATGAATATTTGTTTACACTATACATATACATATTTTTCACGCTACAGGCTTAGAAATGTGTATATGCCATGTAAGGGGTTAAACACAACTTGCAAGAATATTGTTGTTGGGATGAATACTAAATATTAAGAAAATATGATGTGAGATTTGCATTACTTAAACTGATAACATTCGTCGAGGTGAGCTTCGTAATCTTTGATTACCTATGTTTCAGCATCTAGAGTAATAACAGCAACAGGCTTTCCAGCGTCCCAAGCTTCATTGATTCCTTCTGATATTAGAAGAGCAGCGTTTAGTGGGTTTGTTTTCTTGGTAAAGCCTCGTTTTAGTTTATTTTGTGTGGGGTCTAGGATGTCATCAACTTTAGTTTGCAAAATTCCTTCAAGTAGCTTGTTAATAACCGGTGTTACTGTTATGCTTCTGTAATTGCCTGGTAATTTTGGGTCTTTGTTTTTCTTGATGATGGGTGTCAGAAGGCCAGTTTGTAAAATTTCTGGGACATGGTGTAGCTGGATGATGTCGTTGATCAGACAAGTTAGGTAGTTGACCAGTTGCTCTCCGCCGCTTCATGTTCGATTTTGATGCACAAGTGGTCAGGAGCCTTGCCTCTGGCCAATATACTGATGACTTAACTAATGGTCTTTTCTCTAATCTTTTGTGTATCGTCTGGGCTTGTGTTTAGGTTTATCAGTTCTTCTCTGACAAGTTTGTGTGTCTGCTGATCAAATTTGTCACCGTCCTGTGGTGTAGCAAGCCTTTCGAAATGTGTTTTTCAATAATTAAGTATGTCTTCTTCACTATCTAGTTCGTGATCGTCAAGTATCAAGGTTTCTCTGTCTTGGTTGTTTGATGCACCTCGCTCCCTAATTAGCTTGTAGAAAAGCTTATGGTCGAATTCTTGAGCATGCATGATTTTAGAGTATTTATCTTCACGTATTCTGGCATGATCTTGTCTTTGTTTTCTGCGCAGCTCTTTCTTTTAGGTTTTCAGTTTTTTGAGTGACCTGTTCGATGGTGCCTGAGGCGATCCCTTGTTTTTTCATTCAAAGAATGCGTTCTTTGATAATTTTGCAGCTTCTCCAACTTCTTTGTTCCATTGGGTACGGCCTTTAGATTTCCTCTTTAGTTCATTAAGTGTTTCTTATTTATGAATGGAGTTTCTTCATGCTTTTATGCAGCACATTTGTCAGGTGGATGACTTTAAGGGATATATCAAAGTCACATTTAGGGGGTGTCGCTTCATTAAGCAGCTTGCTTACGGTACTGTTATATGTAGATTTGTCACATTTATCCCATCTCGGCTTTTTGGAGGTTAATTTTGTCTGTTTTCCTTTAGGAAATTTCTTCCGTAGCTGTACTTTTATTATCCCTTTAATCATGGTACATTGTATGGTCGGAAGTGTTGAGGGGGTGCGGTCCCTGGGTTTGAACTTCAGAAATGGATATCTGTTCTTGTTCTGTTGGTATGAAGAAGTGGTCTGTTTGAGATTTTCACTTCCCATCATGATGGTAAAATGTGGGGGAGGTGGTATAATTGTTAGGTGTAATGAGCCTTTCTGTCTTTAGGATTTTTTTGATTTCTTTATCATCTGTATTCTTTATCATCTATTATTTCTGTATACGGATGCGTTCATGTCTCCTCCTATGACGATAGTGTGGGAGTGCCGATATTTGATAAGAACCTCTCTAATAATATCAAGGGATTCTACATACTGAGTCCTGTAGTCACCGTTGCTTCTGCTTGGGAAATATATATACATTGATGATGCAGAGGGGTTTAGGTGCATGAGCACTCCATTTGTATGGCTGAGACTCGGTGACATCCGTCTGGTAAACTTCTGATGATTGGTGACAAAGACTTGTCCCATAAGAAGGTTGTGCCGCCGTATCCTCTGATCCTCTGAAGATGAGTAATTGGGTCTTCCTCATCCACATGCCGGCACATGTAAACATCTTGACGTCTCAGCTCCAATAACAACATCAGCAGAAATACCGATTGCAGCTTTTCGCCAATGTGTTTTAGTTTCACATCCAAGTAGATAACCAACAATACAGAGCTTGTGTTGTTGACTTCCGAAAAAATGGCCGTCGATTTGGGTTTATAGAAGCTCGTCGATCTCTAGATCACCTCGTTTCTATGATGACGTATTCTTACGAGTTTAAATTTAAATTGTATTATTTTTACGAAATAAAATTGGTTATTTTGAGACATTTAGTGTTGGAAATCAAATTATAAGGAATAATTTTTTTTTTAATTTTATACGATATAAAATGGTTTGGGACAGTTTACGCTTTTTTATAAACCGCTTCGCGGTTTATAAAGCGTAAACTATATCGTATAAAATAAAAAAAAAAAGTTCATTCCTTAAATAAAAAAATATATATACCCCTTACCTATGATGGAGTATTCTTTTTATAAAAGAAAAAGAGTAACGTCAGGTACCTGTGAATCAACCAGATTATTCATGAGTAAACGGTATTACCATTAAATTTCAAGAAATGGATGTTTTTGATCTTTGAATGAAAGTAGTAAGAATACTTTATATCGTATGAATACTTCTGCATTCCTGTTTTCAGTCTTCGACACGTGACACTAACATAAAGGTTGTTATCAGAGATTGAACAAAGAACAAGATGCAACTGAAACAATACCTAGCGGTTCAAGTTTTCGTCCTACTAAGCATATGGTAAAAAATCATTTTGATCATTTTGATTGTAATGTTTACTTTATAAATAAAAAAAGGCCTTTGAAAATCAATCTGTATTAATTATCATTTTCCAGCTATTGCTATGAGGGTCGTAGTTGGCATGATAAAGGTAGTTGGCATCATAAAGGTAGGATATTTTTTTTCTTTTCTTTTTCGATGATATTTCAAGTGTTTACTTATATTTAGGTAAAATAAAACGAATTGCCGATTTCGTGAAAACAAATTAAATTTGTATGAATATTTCTTATTTGTTATGAAAGATTTATGCAATTTGTTACTTATTAGAGAAGTTAAACAGTTGACCGTGTACCTAGGGAATTCCCTTAATTTACTGCGATTTCCGCCATCATTTTTGCAAACCGCGAAATTCTACAAGTTGTTCACAACGTGTAGTTCCATAAGTACAGTGTAGACAGAGGTGAGCACTTGTAGCTTCTTAAACTCAAAGAAGGGGTAGCGAGCGTCGCTCCGAGCTCTAAAGACAACGCCTGGGCAAAGTGAAAATTCGAACTACTGCACATTCTTTTCAGCAGTAAAATTTGGACCCACGATGCATCGCTTCGTAGACGAAAACTAAAGCAACTTTCCGGCGAGAATATCAATAAACCAGAAGTCTCTGTCGAGACTGTAGCTCTACTGGTTTATACTTAAAACAAAGGAAGAGAAAAGTAGCAGTTGGGACTTGAGACTTTAAATCAGCAATAAATAGAAAAATGATCCTTGCCACTCATCAAAATAAAAACCAATGCACAGAATTATGTATCTTAGTATAGTCTACTTGTGTGCCAAGTTATACTGAAATCAGACCAAAACTGCAGGAGGAGTAGCATTTTGAAAGAATTTCACAGAAATGTCTATTTTTAGTAACCATGGCAACATTGTTCATTGAAATCAAAAACCGATGCACAGAATTATGTATCTTAGTGTAGTCTACTTGTATGCCAAGTTATATCAAAATCAGACCAAAACTGTAGGAGGAGTAGCATTTTGAAAGAATTTCACAGAAATTTCTATTTTTAGTAACCACGGCAACACCGTTTAACGAAATCAAAAACCGATGCACAGAATTATGTATCTTAGTGTAGTCTACTTGTGTGCCAAGTTATACTGAAATCGGACCAAATCTGTAGGAGGAGTAGCATTTTGAAAGAATTTCAAAGAAATTTCTATTTTTAGTAACCACGGCAACACCGTTTATCGAAATCAAAAACCGATGCACAGAATTATGTATTTTAGTGTAGTCTACTTTTGTGCCAAGTAATACTGAAATTGGACCAAAACTGTAGGAGGAGTAGCATTTTGAAAGAATTTCAAAGAAATTTCTATTTTTAGTAACCACGGCAACACTGTTCATCGAAATCAAAAACCGATGCACAGAATTATGTATCTTAGTGTTGTCTACTTTTGTGCCAAGTTATATTGAAATCAGACCAAAACTGTAGGAGGAGTAGCATTTTGAAAGAATTTCACAGAAATTTCTATTTTTAGTAACCACGGAAACACCGTTCATCGAAATCAAAAACCGATGCACAAAATTATGTATCTTAGTGTAGTCTACTTGTGTGCCAAGTTATATTGAAATCGGACCAAAACTGTAGGAGGAGTAGCATTTTGAAAAATTGTTTACAGACAGACGGACAGACAGACAGACGGACGGACGCATTACTATCGCATAAGCTCTTCTGGTCTCTGACCAGTAGAGCTAAAAACGAATTATAAACTTGCCTTAATTTAATGAATTATACTGAAAGGAAAAAGAAACGCAGTGTAAACTTTTTAGGTAAATTAAATTAAATTTATTTTTCTTTTTTTTTTTCAGTACTCCTATCTAACTTTTAAAATCATATTTCAAAAAGATATAACCAAAATCCCTTTTGATTTCTTCTAATAATTCACGAATTATTGAAGCTCAGATGACGATACCCCCCAAAAGTGAAAATCTTCAATGTCTCTCCCGCGAATCTGTCATGAGCCTTATTTTTCCTTTGCATGGAATTTATCAGAGTGTTTATTTTTCAAACCATATTGGGCGTGTGTATCAACGCCAAAAATTAGTCATAAGACACGCGCATGCGCCAGTGAGAGGAACGCAGCAGTAAGTTGACCGGCTCGAAAAACCAAATTGCGGAATATCTTTCATTTTTCGTGTGAATGTAACGATTATGATAGTCTGCTGTATAAAGGGCGGTTTTTGTGGTAGTAAGGTGGCAATTAAGATATTGCAGGACGAATAACCTTCCCGTACGTAATCGTAATCGTCACAGTTGATTGAAAACCATTCCAGGCCCTCTCTGACAACGGGTAACAAGTTTTATGGGGGAAAATTTACAAGATACTGCTTAGTTACCCGTTGTTGCCTTTTTCATTAATTAGGCAATTCGAAAACCAGACCCCATGGAACTTCCTTAAACTGTACCGAGATTGCAAGAAATTCATATCGTCTCTAAATATTGAAAAACAATGTGCATACCTCTGGTGCATCAATTGGTGCAACAAGATTTTTTGACAAACTCGTCGTCATCAAATTGCCCGTGTTTTTGGGCTTTTTAGTATTTTCCCTACGTGACGTCATACATTTTACGGTTGAGTAATTCTGATTTTGGTGCATAGTAACTAAATTTCTCATCTGACCATTTTTCGTAATTTTCAGTCATGCGGTCAAAACATTTTCGAATATTATGCTACCCTGCGTTTCTTTTTCCTTTCAGTATATTTAAAGAGAAATAATCAAACCGTTTTATTTCCAGGCTATCAGGCTTTGGTTTGGTAAAGCAACACGCATACGACTTCGTGTGACTTCAGAGTCCTAATCGCACTGGAATGTCACGTGCGGTGTGACGAGCCCGATCTAAATGAAAACTGAATAAGTATCTCGGCTCGCCTTAACAGTCGCACCGTCAACATATTAGAATATGTATTTTTCATGCAGTGTTAGGTATGAAGTTAAGAAATTATTACGTATACCCAATGTATCTTTTTTAAATAAAGTCTTGGAACGATATGATCCCTGTTATGCTTCGCATACTCCGCGTCACTAGGGCCCTGAATCTTAGCCCATTGTGACGTCGAATTTAGCTGTGCTTCCGGTGAAGACGTTCGTTGTGACGTCGTATTTTTCTACGCCGTCGATGTTATGTGTCATTGTTACGTCGATATTTTTTCGTGATTAACGACAACGGCTGAAAAACCCACGATTAGCGCGCATTGTTCTGACCAATCAAAGGAAATCATAGAATGTAATCCACCTGGCTTTCCTGCCTTGGCAGGGATAAGACGGGTCCAGGCTAGCCTAGTAGTTTCAACTAGACACATGTCTGTTTCCGTAAACCCTGACGAGCTCTCGTGTGACGTCACAGTCTAGATATCTCGTGCGACTTGACGTTTGAAGTGGCGGATCAACGTTTCGGTTGTATTTTTTAAGGTACAACTGCACTCGCTTTAACGGTCACACCGTAAAACATATTAAGTAATTTCATAAACATGTTGTAAATAAAACGCTGAAAAAGGGATTATCACTGCACTCAACTTTTTAAATTCAAAATGGCTTAAAACAAATTATTTCGTTTAAACTAATTTTGAAAAGAATTGTTATAACGGATCAAATTTAATTTAAAAAATTCTAACACTTATTAGGATAGATTTAATTAGTTAAATATTTTTTTTAATTTGACCAACGAATTGTTGAATTCCTTTAATTCGTTAAAGCTAAGTAAATTCGGAATTTAATTTGTTATAAAAAGCGTAAAAATTCCGGTAAACGAGTTTTTAATACTGTAGAATCACATATTTTCATTGGATCAAATTTTCAAGGTTTGGGGGAAAATTGATTTGGTGGGATTTGATTTCGTGAAAATGTTTATTCCTAATGCAAATATGAAATTTACATTTCGTTGTGGTCATAAATTCAAGGGTTGCTCCATACCTCCAAAACAACGAAAATTTAACCTCGACGAAAATTAGTGATTTCTGAGTAATTCATTTAAACAATTTTTTTGAATTCGTTGTGACGGACTCAACAAAATCAGTTTGATTTCAAAGAATTTTATAAACGAATTAAATTCGTTATTACAAATTTAACAATTTGTATCATATATCAAATTCAAACTTTGTTTAATGGACTTACTTTTGCCTTTCCGGTAAGGATATAAGGAAATATCATAAACAATTTTATTGACTTGTTACAAAACAAAATTAAAAAAATTATAGTTGTTTTACATCCAACCTGCAGAGAACATTTGGGACAAAATTCATGCACTCTCTTTTACGGAAGCTCAATCAGGACCTATCAAAAAATATTTGTGAATTTAATATGACAAATTGTCGAATTGGACTTGATTTTGTTTTGTTACAGGTTAATAAATATATTAGTGATATCCCTATCGGAATAAGAAAAGTCCATTTAGGACCTATTAAGTACCTGTCCACATAAAAATCAGACAAAACTGTAAAAAACTGATACATGAAGGTTTTCAGAATTTGATGATTTTCCACTCATAGATTTATTTTGAAGTATGAACAATGTATGTAAAATAAAAAATGTTTTGAGTCATGGTAACCATGGAAACCCGGCCAAAGAAATTTCCTTAGCAACCGGCGGATTTTTCAGTGTTGAAGGAAAAAAAAATCACCTATCTTTGAGGCTTAAAATAACACATAAATACCATGAGAATTATTCTTACTTATGGATGTAATAAAGATACACATTTATTGTGTTCTAATAATATAATAAAAAATATTTAGGTCTTAAGTCAGTTCTGTGGTAGACATTGGAAGGTACACATGTTTTACAAGTTTTGCTGATTCAGCATTTTTCGTGATTTTGGCAATATTCAAGGCCAAATTTTAAAAATGGCCAGATTAATACAGTTGTTGCATGTATCACACATAAAAGAAGAGGTATTCCTCTTTTAGAATTTGAAGTCAAATCCATGGGCTCTTTTGAAAATCGAATCTGTTGCCTAGCAACAAAAATGGGCTTTTTGATGCATAAAATGAGAAACTATGTAAAAAGTTTGCGGAAAAATCAAATGAACGGTTATTTATAATAAACAAGATACAAATTTTAAAATAGTATAATTAAATTCGGTCTCCCTAGCACATTATTGAATATTGCATAATTCTTTATCT